TTTTTTTTTTTTTTTTTTTTTTTTTTTTTTTAAAACACAACATTTTTAATTTATGATATTTCTTCAAACTTATATATGAAGTTTCTAAATTAATAAAAGAGATTCTTTATTTTTATAATTAATACAAAAAATTAGTAACATTAAATTACATTCCTATTTTTAGACTTTTTCATTTATATAATTTTTGATTATTATTATTTATTTACATTATGTTATAAATTATATTTCCTTAAATTTAATACATAAAAAAAAAAAAAAAATGAGTGAAAGAAATGATGAAGAAAATAATTTAAATAAATTAAGTCTTTTAAGTGATGATCAAGAAAATGATATAAATAATGAAAGTGTGAATTTTTCAACGGAAAATATATTAGAAAATTATGATGAGATTAATATAAATTCTGATGGAAAAGGAATGTCTGATAGTATAAAAAATAAATTAGTTCATAAAAATGTATCTTTAAAAATACATAATATAATATCATCAGCTAATTTATGTTTAGAAATAGATTTACGTTTGATAGCCGTATCTATTAGAAACGCAGAATATAATCCAAGTAAAATTAACACTCTTATAATAAGATTGAATAAACCTAAATGTACAGCTTTAATTTTTAAAAATGGAAGAATAATGTTAACAGGAACAAAAACAAAAAATGATTCTATATATGGATGTAAAAAAATAGGAAAAATTATAAAAATAATAACTAATAAATCTGTAAAATTTCAAAATTTTAAGATAGAAAATATAATTGCTAGTGCTAATTGTAATATGCCTATAAGACTAGAAATGTTAGCTCATGATCACAAAGAATATTGTAATTATGAACCTGAATTATTTGCAGGATTAGTATATAGATATAAACCTACATCAAAATTAAAATCAGTTATTTTAATTTTTGTTTCAGGAAAAATTATTATTACTGGATGTAAATCCATCCAAAAACTAAATACCGTTTTTCAAGATATATATAATGTTCTAATTCAATATAAAAATTGAAAGAATAAATAAAATAAAATAAAATAAAATAAAATAAAATAATATTATATACATATGTTTTTGTAACTCATTTTTAAATAATTCAAATTAATTTATAATTTTAAATTTTTTATATGATAACACTAATTAATATAACTACTGATTTATTCTATCTCTTTTATTTTTTTGTGAAAACGTGTTTTAAATGTTTATTTAACTTTTTCTTTATTTTTTATGTAAAACAAATTTTTAAATTTACAGTACAGAAAAAAATTAATAAAAAAAAAAAAATAAAAAAATAATAAAAAATAAAATAAAATAAAATAATAAATAAATAATATAATAAAAATGAAATTATTTTAACATAATTAAAAATTATAATATGATTTTTTAAGATTCTCTAACAACAAAAATTTTTTTTTTTTTTTCAAGTGATTATTTAATTTATTTCTTTAAAATTTCTACCAATTAAAGGATCTTTATTTTCAATATAAAGAGCCTCTAAATTATGAATATTAAAAATATTATTAAAATTACTTAATGAAACGGAATTATCCTTTTTGATTTTTTTGATTTTTCTTAAAATATATTTTTGTCTTCTTGCTTTAATTAAAGCAGAAGTAAACCATACAGTCCTTAATACTTTATTCCATTGAGTGATATTTGGTCGTGCATTTAATTTTATTAATTCATAATAAGAATGTAATAATCTTTCATTAAATCTAATTAATGAACAATGTACTTTTTTTAATTTCATCTCATTTAATATTTTAAATGATTCACTAATATTTTCCCCATTAGAAATTATTAAATTACCATGTAATAATATAGAATAAGAAACTTCGTCTTTTAAAGGATACTTATTTAGAATATCAAAATAATATTGAAATTCTTTCTCATTATTTTTTTTGAGAGTCAACCAAATTTTTTTATGTAATTTATTTTTATATTTTTGAATTTCATATTCTTCTTTTGAAATTTCTAATAACTCATCAGATTTTTCTAATGTATTTAAATTACTTTCATATTCTTTCGGAAATAAATCATTTCTATTATTTTCTTCTAATAATGTTTTGTTTTTATCATTTAAATTAATATTATTTTGTTCTAATAATTTAGCGTTTTTATCATTATTAGTATCTTGAAATTTAATTTTTCTTCCTATTTTTGAAGATAAATAATATTTCTCATTAGAATCATAGTTTTTATTTGGTTGTTTATCCTTTTTTTTTAAAATTTTATTAGGTAAATATTTATTAATTATATCATTAAAATTTTTTTTATCACTTTTTATTCTTAGTGAAGATGGCTTTAAACTGTTTTCTATATTTTTTGCAAATTTTCTTTTAATTATTTTTAGGAAATTTTCATCAAAATTCTTAACAAAATGCATTTTTTTAATTTTAAAGATATGATGATATTAACAAAAACATTTCATAAAACTAAAAAAAAAAAAAATTCTTCATATATATATATATATAATTACATAATTATAATAGGAACATACAAGGAAAGTAAAGATATATAGAGAAATAATTTTAATTATTTTATTTATAAAAATATATATATATATAAAAAAAAAAAAAAAAAAGAAAAAAAAAAATACAAATTTAATTTTAAAAATTAAGAAAAAACTTATACAAAAAGAATTATATCATATAATTTTAAAAAAAAAAATTATTATTTTTTTATGTTTTTTTCAAATATTCTTTATTATTTTTTTCATTCTTTTTCGAAAAATGCTTTGCTGTCCTTTAAAATTTTGTTTAAGATTTTATTAGATCTATCTATTTTTTCATCCTAAAATAATTAAAAGTAAGAATGAAAATAAAAATATAATAATAATAAAAAAAAAAAAAATAAAAATGAATACCAATATTTATAACAAAAATAATGAAAATTATTCTATACATATAAAAATTTTATTTATCTATTTTTTTTTTTTTTTTTTTTCTTGTTTTACTAAATCATATTTAAACCTTCTCATAGCTTTTTTCTAAGAGAAAAATTAATACAATTATACATTAAAAATGATATATCTTATATTTATGTTGTTTTCTTTATTATGTTTTTTTTTATCATGTATTTTTTTCAGTCTTCCATTTTTTTTAATACTAATTTTATTTTTTATATTTTTATTATTTCCTTTTTTTATTATGTATATTATTTACAATGAAGTTCTTTATATTTTTTTTTGTATTATCTAAAATTTTATTATGTTTTTTAATTATTACACTTTTTTTTTTTTTTTTTTTTTTTATACCTCTTTTTTTTGAAGTTCATCTATAAATAGAAAAAAATTGTAAAATGTCAATCCCTTGTCAAATGCATATATATACAATTAGTATTTTTATTTAGATACATAAATAAATAAAAATATATTAAATTCTAATAATTTATTTTTTTTTTTTCTCTATAGTATTATTTAATTTTTTTTTTTTTATTATATTTTCAATTTTTATTTCATTTTATTTTTTTTTGATTTTTTTAACTTTCAATGATATCATGTGTATTTACGACTTCCGTTGCAAAATTAAAAACTGTATAAGGAGGATCTGCAATTTTTAATTTATTTACCTAAAAAAAGAAAAAAAAAAAAACAAAAAAAAACAAAAAAAAACAAAAATAGATAACTACAGTATGTATATTATTAATTATAATATTAATAAAGTTGTAAAAATTATTTAAAAAATTTGTGTAATTATATTTTTTTATTTTTTTACATTAATTTCAGTAAAGCTAAATTGATTATGCGAGATATTACCAGGATCAAATTCGAATGAATTAGTAACTTTTGTTAAAAGAAAAAAAAAAAAAAAAGACAAACAAAAATATGTTAACCTAGTCATTTTAATAAATGTTTTAAGATATTATTAGAAAGATAATAATAATTATAAAATTAGACAAAAATTAAGAAATTAATATTTTTTTAAAATCAGTATTTTATATATGTTTTTAAAGTATATTTTATTTTACTATATTTCTATAAAGGTACAACTTTTATTAATTAAATTATAAAATAAATAAAAAGACAAATTAACTACTTATAAAAACAAGGAGTTCAAGAAAATTTTAGATAATAAATATTTCAGTTAATAGAATATTTTTTTTTTTTTTTTTTTTTGTATGTATGTATTTACACCATTAAAACAAAAATATATAATTACATTTTTATTAATATATAAAAAAAATAAATAAATAAAATAAAAAATTAACCAATAGATAAAAACATTCAACTATAAAAGAAATATTTATATATATTGAACTAGATATATTCTTTAGATTAACTTAAAAATGGATATTATACTTTTTTTTATTTATTATATAGAAAAATATAATGTTGCCTTTTTAAAAAAAAATATGTATTTTTAATAAAAAAAAAAAAAAAAATATTATGCACACAATATATTGGTATAACATAAAAAATATATTTAAAAATATCTTATATTTTTAGGATATAAATTTTAAAAATTTATATAATTATGTTATATATTATTTTATTTTTTTTTTTTTAACTAATTTTGCTTTCTTCATACATTTAAGAAAATTGAATATATTTTTATTATTATTATTATTATTATTATTATTATTATTATTATTATTATTATTATTATTTTTTTTTTTTTTTTTTTTTTTCAAGTACTTTGTAAAACTAAAATAGAGAAATTTATTATTTATTTTTCTGTCTTTTTTTATTTTTAAATTAATATTACAATATAGATATAAAGTTATAATGTTTAATGATGAAATTAACTAAAAAAAAAAAAAGTAAAGAAAAAAAATTATAATGTCAAACTTTTTAAAAAATAAATAAGATATATATATGAAGACATATATTATAAAAATTTATTAAAAAAAAAATAAATAAATAAATATTATAAAAATAATACATATATATATATGTAAATTTTAAATAATGATTACGGAAGATATGAAAATGCCTTAAAAGAGTGTAATATGAATAGAAGAGATAATATTATAGTTGAAAATAAAAACAATATATGTAATTTTAGTCATTTAGAATTTAATAAAAGGAATATTCTAAAAAATAATTCAAAAGATAACTATAAATTAATATCTAATAGTAAAGAAAAAAGTAATGGTAGAATATTTTCTTTTAGTAAAAATAATAATAATGATGATAATAATTATTCAAAACAATTAAATAATAAAGTTAATAATAATTTAATTATTAATGATGTTGTAGATAAATTAACTACTAAAGATGATTACAATGATAGAATTAAAAATAATATAAATAAAAAATTACTTAATACTAATTTTAACAAAAAAAAGACCTCTCTAATTTCTCCTAATAATAAAAAATATAATATTCAGATAGATAAAAAAATATTTAACACAAAAAGTAACTCTTCTATAAATAATAATAACAATAAAAGAAGTTCCTATTTATCTGAAAATATCTTAAAACCAATCATTATGAATAATAATAATAATAATAATAATGAAACAAAAATTAATATAATTCTTTTAAATAATGAAAAAAAAAATATATATGAGGATAAAAAAAAACAACTAAATGAAAATGAATATAATAATAAAATAACTACAGGTATTAAAAAAAATCTCAATGTTAAAGAAATAAATAAGAAAATAGAAAATCTAAAAAAAAAAAATATAAATGAAATTAATAATGAAAAAAATAAATTGAGTTTTAATAATAATGAAATAATGTCTTACAACAATTCAAATAATAAAATCATGACTGAAAATGATAATAGTATAACTACAATTAATGAAGATAATAAACTTCAAAATAAAGAAAATAAAACTAATGTATGTAAAAATTATAAAATGAATTATTTAGACAAAAAAATAGAAACAAACAATAAAAATACAAATAGCTATGAAAAAGAAAAATATAATGTTAATACATTTATAAAGATATATAATAAAGATAATTTACAAAATTTTAATAAAACAAAAAATTTAAATTATAAAAATATAAAAGAAAAATTTTCATTTAATTTAAAAGTAAAAAATAATAAAAAAAGTGAATGTAAGTTTAATAATAATAAAATTAATAATCAAGAAAATACATTTGCAGATATTAAATATAAGAGAGAAAATAAAATAAAAAATAATATTACTAATTTAATAAACAACTCTGATAATAATAATAATAATAATTTTGATGAAATTAAAACTATTAATAATAATGATAGTTATTTGAATAAAAAAATAAAAAATAATAATATAAGCTCAATTTCTAATACAAACAAATTTCCTATTTATACTAGTAATATAAAAAGTGATAAAAAATGTATACAAAATAAATCTAAGGAAAAACATATAAAAAACTACTATAATTATTATAATAAAAAAGATGATAATTCAATAATTTTTAATAATAAAAAGAATAATTATTCTAATAACAAATTAAATAAAAAGAAAAATAATAATTTAAATACATATATAGAAAACTCAAAAGAACTAAATACAAGTATATCTAATGATAAAAGTAAAAATGATATAAATTGTGTAAATATATATAAAAAAGAATACAAAAATTTTTTAGAAATAAAAAGTGACAATAATTACGAAAAAAATGATGAAACATCTTTTTTAAAAGAAAGTTTCATTAACTCAACTAAAAAACAAAGTTCCATACATGTAAAAAATTATAATACTCAGATTTTGTGTAATTCTTTAAGTAATTCTAATAATACAAAAAAAAACTATATAAATATTTCGTGTAATACATCTATGATAAGTGAATATGAATTAGATGAAATTTATAATGAAACCAATCATGAAAAAGTGAGTAACGAAAATGTTACTTTTAGTAATTTAGAAAATATTAATCCTTCTAAAACAAATAGTGAAATATGCTTCGTTACTAGTGATATTGATACTTTAGATAAAAATAGCAAAATTTATGAGAAAAATAATTATAACAAAAATATAGAAGAAGTTTCTTCATGTAATGAAATAAAGGAAGCTTACATATGTGGATATAATACAAATAATAATTGTGATCAAGATTATGATCAGAATTTTAATGAAAGAATAACACCACCAGAAAATTTAAATAGCAAGAATACTGTAAATAATTATATATATTTTTCAAAAGATAAAAATTGTAATAAAGAAGTACCTATAAAACTTAATCCATGTGATAACAATTCTTCAATGGAGAAATGTAATGACACCATATTTTCTAAAAAAAAAGATTCATCTTTTAGTATTCATAGTAACTTTATTAATTCAAAATATGAAAAAGTAAAAAAAGGTTTAACATTTGAAGAAATGAAAAGAAAGAGCTTTGACACATTTAATATAAGCACTTATATAAATAATAATTTAAAAGAGAAAAATAAAGATATGAATGAAGATGTGATTTCTTCTAAAGAAAGAGATAAAAATGAAGAAAATTTAGCAACTATTAAAAATCCTACAAGTGAATTATTGCAAAATTATTCTTTATTAAAAAAAAGAAAATTAAATGAAAATAAAAACAATTTATCCATTTACAATAGTAGTAAGGAAAAAAAAAAAAAAAGTATAAATAATAATGGTAATATTAGTAATAATAATTATATTACGAATCAAAATAAAATGAAGAATCATGATTTTTTAGAAATCAAACATAAAAATATTAATAAAAATATATACGAATCTACTAGATATAATAAATCAAAATATTTGAGTGAAAAAAAAAATAAAAATGAATGTATTATTAATAAAATTGAAAAAGTGAGCAATCAAAATAATTTAACAAAAAATATTATTAGAAACTATAAAAATGATAAAATTAATGTAAATAAAAACATAAATGATGTAAAGGATATGTGTCTTGATAAAAGATATGAACCTGTAATTATAAATAAATATGAGATAATGAGTGAAAATAGCACCCATAGTAATTTATGTAATAGTATTACCAGCCATAATAATAATAATAATAATAAATATCATGAAAAGGAAAATATCCAAAAATATAAAGAAAAAAAATTAATGTATAATTCAGAAAGCTATCATTTGGTTAATAACAGTTTATTAAAAAAAAATAATTTTAATTCTGAAGATAAAATCAAAAAAGGATATAAATTTTTAGAATTCAGAAAACCAATTAATAATTTAACAAATGACTTAAAAAATTTAAATAATTTTAGTAAAAGAGGAATTATTAATAAAAATATAACTAATAAAAACACTCTAATAAAAAATAAAAAAGCATTATTAAATGTAAACAAAAATCATATACAAATAAAAAAAAACATTTGTAATAAAAAAGAATTAGTTATTAGCAATTTGCTTACTAAAAATACTTTCAGTCAAAAAATAAATCAGTCTGAAGAAAAAAGGAATACAATTAAAAAAAAAGCTGAAAATAAAGTGCTAAATGCACAAGAAAAAAATCAGAGTTCTCATTTAATGAAATTTAATGAATTATCTAATGATACAGTATTTAAAGAAAAAAATAAAATTGTTTTATTACAAGATAATGTAAAGCAAGATGGTAATAAAATTTTTATAAAAATACCTTTGTTATCTTTTATATTTATTTTTTCTAATCTTTATTAATTATATATATAATTACTTGTATTTATAATAAAATATGCATTAAATAATTTTTTTCTAATTTTATTATTGTCCATCTATTATCTATATATATATATATATGTATATAATATTTTTTTTTTTTTTTTTTTTTTTTTTTATTACAGATAAATGTTCTTATATATATAAAGATGTCAATAATTTAAATAGTAAAAGCTTAAATAAGAATAATTCGAGAGATAATAGAAATTTAATTATTAATAATCATAGTAACGTATTACTAGAAAAGCATGATTTTAAAGAAAAAAAAAATCATGATAAAAAGCAAGTAAGTATATCAATTAAAAGTTATAATTCTTTACATGATAACATAATTAAAAATAGCAATTTAATAAAAAATAGAGAATTAAATAAAAATAATGATAATAATAATGAAAAAAATTCAGATCTTCAAAAATCTTATTATAAGAATGATCTATGTAAAAATGAAACAGAAAATAAAAATTATCCAGTCGAAAATGAAGAATTTAAATATCATGCAAATCAAGACATAAAATGGGAAGTAAATAAAATATTTGGAAATAATTCGAATTGTAGTAATCAGTATTATGAAGTTAATAACGCAAACAATTTAAGTGAAAGTAAAAGAAATGAAGAAAAAAACAATTGTACTAACATTATATATAAAAATGATCAAAAAGCTTACTATATGCGTACAATAGGAGAAGATATAATTTTAAAAAAAAAACAAGAGAACGAAAAAGATGAAATCATAATAAATGTTATAAATGGTGAGGAATCAAAACATAACTTAAAAAATAAAGATATAAAAACAGATGATTTAGAAGGTTTATTTCTAATAAAAAATAAAGAAGAAGGACTTTTAAAAGAAAAAAATAATTATGAAATAAAAAATGAAAATTCCTTAAATGGAACAGAATCGAAAAAAAAAGAAAAATATTTTAATAAAAATTTAAAAACATATACTAATTACAATAACGAAAATATTAATAGTGTCAATGATTTTCATACAAATATATGTTTTTCAAAAAAAAAAAATTTTCAAAACAAAATAATGCACGAATCGAATGAAAAAAAAAATTCAAAAAATTATGTACTTCATTCTTTCAGTCATGCAAAAAAAAAAATCAACCCATTAAATGAAAATAATAAAAATGAAATATACAATAACAAATTCATCAATTTAAATATGAAACCTTATGATAAAATAAATATTATTCAAGAAATTTCATCAGATGATTTGCTAAATGAAAATTTTGCCGATTTAATAAAAAATAAAAGTAATTTTACCATTGAAAAAAAAAAAAAAAATATAAATTTTTTTAACGATAATAAACCGCATATAGAAAAAAATAATGAGAACATTTTAAATCGAAAATCGAAGGATAAAAAGATTTCTGAAAAGCAATTGAGCAATATGACAGAATTATCGTCCTGTAAAAAAAGAAAAATATATAATTCATGTTTTTCAAATTTTTTAAATGATGTTTTAAGCTTATCAAATGATTGTGCAAATAACAAATTAAGTAAAAGAAAGAACAGCGACAATATTGATTACGGAATTAAAAACGAAAATGACAAAAAAATATTGAGGTATAACTGTTTCACGAAATTTGATAATGGAAATCCATTTATAAATGAAAATAACACTAATTATTTTACTCTTAATAACTCCTTTGAACGAAATTTTAATGCAGATAATTCAAACATTAGTGAAGATTTAAGTGAAAACTATTTAAGTAATAATTCAGAACCTATTTTACCAAATAAAAAACAAATAGAAGATTTTATCTCATCTGTTGAACATATTTGCAATAATAAAAATGTATTAAAAAAAGAAAGTTACGATCAATTAAAAAATTACGCAATCAAAAATGAACAGGGTTTATTTTTAGATAACTATTATTCTAATCCTGTTAAGAATACTGAACATACAAAAAAATTAATAGATTTTAATGATTCATTATATAATAAATTAAATTTAAATTTTGATGAAAATAATTGTAATAATAAAAAGAAAAAACATCGTAGAAATTCTTCTAATTCAAATGATAGCACTTTTTCATTAAATAATGATGATATAAATAAGCACAATTTCAATATTCTGATAAATTCCTTAATTTCCAATAATGAAGAAAAAGAAGAAAATACTATTTCAAAAAATAATGAAGAAAATTTAAAAATTGATAAAAATTTATTTTTTTCAAATAGTTCAAGTAATGATTTAGAAAAAACTTATATTAATAGTTATTTTTCAAATAATCTTGATGAAGGAGATAAAAATGAAGAATTCAATTGTTATGAATCAAAAGAAAATTTATATAAAAATTTAAGTTTTAACATAGATAAAAATGAAACAGAACATATATGTGACGATAAAAATATATTAAAATATCGTTCATTCAGTGATAATAATTATGAATATAAAGATTGTACTAGTTGTAATGATTATAATAGTATTAAAGATTATAATAATTATGACTGTAATAAAGATATGAATAACTATTGTGATAATAATAATAATAATAATAATAATAATGATTACAATGGATGTAATAATAATATTGAAGCTGTAGAAAATAAATTAAAAAATATGGTTTTTGAATATATTCTTAGTAATAAATTAAATGTTGCAAAAAATTCATCAATCACTAAAAATGAAAAAGAATTATTTAAAAAAAACGTAAGTAAAGATAATGAAGGAATTAAAATAAATGAATATGAAGATATTTTAAAAGAAAAAAATTTCCATAATAATTCAAAAACTTTTTCCAAAAGTATAAATTTTAATGATGATACTACTAATTTTGAAAAAAAAAGAAAATGTAATTGTATTATTTGTTTAAATAGTAATAATAATGATAATAACAATAATAACATCAATGATAGTACCTTAACAGATTATTATCAAAGTGACGTGAATAACAATTTAAAATCAAATTGTATTGATGATATTTTTTGTGATGAAAAAAAAACTTTTAATAATAATGAATATAGTCTTACACATATTAAAAATTTAATACAGAATATATCTAATTTAAATAATGAAGAAAACAAAAAATTTTATGATAATTTTATTAGCAAAATTTTAAATAATCAATATGAAGTGAATAATTTTAAAATTAGTGAAAATTACAATGATAATCATAATCATAATTGTCATTGTATTGATGATAATAACTTAGATTATATTAGTGATTATAATAATAATGATCAAATACATAATCTTTTCATGGAAAATGGTTTAAGTGGAAATATCTTAAAAAATTTAGAAAATTGTAAATTAAATGAAAAAATTTTATCTAAAATAGAAAATATTAATAAAAGAGAAAAAAAAAAGGTAGATGAAAATAATACTAATTCCATATGCTATCCTTATGATAGTATTTTAAAAAATCTAAATATGAATAATTTAAAAAATTACTATGAATCAAAAAAAAATACTTTTTTAAATAACCATAATATTGATCATAAAATGGATAATATAAATTGTGAAAACAATTTTTCTCATATACAAAAAGAGTTGAACCTTCAAAATTATATTAATAGCGCAAATAATTTGCAGAGTTCATATGAAGACAGTTATCTAAATAACAGTAATAATTTGAGTAAAGAAAAAAAATTAACAGATGATAAAAATTCTCCTCTAAATAACAGTAATATAAAAAATGATAATTCTGATACATTTCTTAATATATTAGAATTTATAAAAAATAATAATAATAATAATAATAATAATAATAATAATAATAATAATAATAATAATAATAATAATAATAATAGTTATATGAATTTTAATGTAAAACAAGATTATAGAAATGATTATTATGATGATAATAATAAAAATTTTAGCTATAATAATTATATATATTATAATATTATAAAAAATTATTATTTTGCTTTTTTTTTAGATTTATATAAGAAAACAAAGAATAATTTATCCAATAACTTCTGTCAACATAAAAATATGAATTGTGAAGAATCAGTAAATTTCAATAAATCAATTGATGATAATCTCAATGAAGATATATATAATTGTATTAATCTGAACATATTAAGTGAACATTCTTCAAAAATAAATGAAATTGAAAAGCGTCATTTAAATGAGATTAAAAAACATCAGTTGAATGGAAATGAAGATGAAAACGAAAGAATAAATGAATATAATATGAATGAAAAAGAAATAAAAGAAAACAAATTGGGTATAATTAAAGTTAAGAATTATTCACAAAAAAAAATGTTTAACAAAAAGAATAAAATGATTTATAGTACTTCAAAGGATGATAGCCTGTGTGTAAAGAATAACAAAAATAAAAGAGAAGATAATAAAAAAAAAAATGCAAAAGATTCTATAAATAATTCATCGAAGAAAAAAAACGGTAATTCAAAAAAAAAAAATAACAATCTTAATTTTAAAGAAAGCATAGAATGCACATATAAAGTATCAAGCAAAGAAACACAACAAAATTCTAATTTTATATTTTTAGATGAAGATGATAAAATATTTTCAAACCAAAAAATACTAAACGAAGAAAATAAAGAAAGAAATAAAAGAAAGCGTTTTAAAGTTAATGAATTTCACGCTGATACAATTTTGGATAAAAATATTCTACCAGCAAATATAAAGAGATTCATAAATAGTTCGAAAGATAATATTTTTAAAAAAACAAATGAAAAAATAATTAATGACAATATAAATATAGAAAATATAAATAACGAAGAAATTATTAGTAAAGAAATAATAAATAACAACATAATTAACGACAATATTTTAGTTGAAAAAATCAATGAAGAAGGGATAATCATTAAAGAAGAATTAGAAAATGATAATATAACTAACAGTAGTATTGAACACATAAATGAAAATGAAATAATTAATAAAGAAATAATTAGCAAAGAAGAAATTATAAATGAAAATACTATCAACGATGATATACTTGTTGAAAAAATAAATGATGGAAAGCTGATTAGCAAAGAGATAATAAATGAATTGATAATGATGAAAGAAGATTTAATACAAGATGATGATAGTAATTTTCATACTGTAAATATAAATAAATTAAATTTACAAGATAAGAAAGAATTAGATGAAATTAATTTTAGTAGAAATAAATTAAATGATAATATATTGAATCAAATTGATATGAAAGAAAATCCAACTGAAAATTACAATAATCATCATGCTATGGAAGCTGAGAGATTAAATAGTGATATACCTTATATAACAGATATCTATAAAGAAATGCACAAATCTCCAGTTATGCCATTGAGAATTGAAGCGTTTCATTCTTTAGAAGATCAAAGATTAATATATGGAAAACCAGAATGGCAAAAATTTTTATGCCCATTATGTGATAAAAAATATTATCCTCCAAATACTTACATTAAAAATTATGCACACTATTTGAATGAACATTGGAAAAATAGAAAAACATTAGGTGGTTATATAATTTTTCCTTGCAAGTTAATACATGATATAAAAGAAAACACAGATATAAAAATTAATAAAAAAATGAAAAAAAAAAAAAGAGTTTTAATAGATCCGCATTATCATTGCCCTTTATGTTTACATATTTATTTTAATGATTATAATTTGGTAATTGATCACTGTATCAAATTACATAAATCTTCTGGTGCTGATCCATCTAGAACTCTTCCATCTAATTTAGTTCATACTCCGTTTATTAATAATCATGATTATTATTCTAAACTAAGAAAATTAGAATCTGATACTGATATTAACATAAGTATTAATGATAATCACAATAATTCCATAAGTGAATCTTCTCAAAATCTCAATATTTCTTCTCCAAAAAAACAAAACATATCTAAAGTTTGTGATACTGATACAAATAAGAAAAAAAACAAAAATAATAGAAGCAGTAAAGTTATTTTTTGTGATGATATTCAAATAAGAGAATTCGACATTGAACTATCAAAAATAGAAAAAATTGGTGCAAGTATTGGTCCTGTATTTATTGATGAAGAAAATGAAAAAAAAGATAAAAAGGAAAATAAACAAGATGAAAAAGGTAGTAAAATTGATGAAATGGAAAAAAATGAATACAATGAAAAAAGCGGAAATGGAGATAATATTGAGAAAATGATAAGAGATGATGATAAAAATAAAATTGATGAAAAAAATTTTAATAAAATATATGATAATGAAAGAATTATAGAAAAAAATGAAAAATATAATGAAATAACAGAAGTAAAAAAAATTAATAAAATTGAGCAAAATTGTGAAAAAAAAATAGAGAAAAAGACTAGCAAGAATGAGATAAAAAAAGTGGAGAAAGTTAATGAAAAGAAAATTCAAGAAAAAAATAAAGAAAATACAAATGAAAAGAATAATAAAATACATAAAAATGATTTTAATACAAAAACATATGAAAAAGCTGTGAATGAAATGATAGATAAAGAACATAATGAAAATAAGGATTTTCATTCAAATAACAATGATGATATTTTGATTTCAAAAAAAAACATAGAATATAATAATCTAAATGATTTAGAAAATAACTTTTTGAAAAAAAAATCGTTTGAAAAAAGGGAGAATAATATTAATATAAAAAAAGTGAATATAAAATACAAAAAATTAGTAAATGAGAATACAAATGACAATTCAATTTTAAATGGGTTAACAAATATAAATAATGATAATGTAATAAGTAAGGAAGAATATAATAATAACAAAATTATAGAACTGAAAAATGATAAAAATAAACTAGAATTTAATGATAATAGTAAATTAATTCATCCTGATACAAATAAAATAGAACATGATGAAATTCAAATGGAACAAATTAAAAATGATCAAGTGAAAAATATGACAAATAAAAAGAATATTGGAAAAAAGAATTATAGTAACAAAGTTTTTTCAACACTTTTTAATATTGATGGTTTATCATCTAAGGAAAGTAAAGATAATTTTTTTTCATGTGTGAATTATGAAGAAAATTTAAAAATAAAAGAACAGCCGATTAACGAAATTCTACTTGAAAATAGGATAGAAAATAGCAAAAAACATATATTTACATCAGATAATAATAATAAAATAGGTAAACGTATAAAAAATAGCATTGAAAACTTTCATAAAAATATAATATCAAAATATAAAAGGAAAATTAAAATATGTGCAATTAATGAAAAACAAAAAGAATCAAATATATGTGTTGGTAACAAATTTCAGGAAAATGTATATATGCCCCCAGAAAATATGATTTTAGATTTCAAAAATGAAAAAGAAAAAAATATTTTAAAAAAAGTAATAAGAGAAAAAAAAAAAGAAAAAATTGTGACTATGAAGACGAATTGTAGACAAAGCGCTAGAATTAAAAGCAAAAAAAAATAAATAAAAAATAAAAAAAAAAATGAAAATATAAATGAATTTATTTATTTTATTTATATATTTTATTATTTTTTTATTTTTTATTTTTTTTTTTTAAGTAATCCATAGAACATATTTTAAAAAAATTTTTCATTATGTGTAGTTGATAAGTTTTAATTTTTTTTTTTTTTTTTTTTTTATTTACTCCTTTCAAAAAGAAAGAAAAAAAAAAAAAAATAAAATTTTCAAAATTTTTAAGATGTAACTTTTTTTTTTTTTACCCGTTTAATTTTAAATATATAAATAAATATATTTATTCCTAATCTTTTTATTTTTATATTTACTTTTTAATAAATAAAAATTAAATTAATTGGTATAATTACTGAATTTTTTTTTTTTTTTTGTTATATTTTGTTTAGTATTTTACATAAAAATTTCATTTTAAACTTATATAAAGTGTATAAGAGTCGATTTTTTTCAATTTTTAAAGTAATTTTTATAAAAAAATTAAATTAAATATATTAAGGATATTCATGTAAAAAATTTTTAAAATATAACTTTTATTTTTTTATTTTTGTAATAAAAATAAAAAAGGAGTATATATATATATATAGTCAAAATGATAAGATATGAACAACATACTTTATTTTTTATTTTTTCATTGAATTCCATGAATCTTTTGCTGCCCTATAAAAAATGCAAATACAAATATATGTGTAAGTTTAATATTTATTGATAATATATACTATATAATTATATTTATATTTATTTATTTATTTATTTGTTTTTTTTTTTTTTTTTACTTAAATGTTAAAATATGCTTTTTTGTTAATGTTTCTTCACATTCATTGTATCCACCTGATAATACTGTAACTATTGGAATATTATTTTTTATTGCCATTTGATAAGTTAAATAATCTCTTTTATAAATTCCTTCATCACTTATTAGAAGAAAACCTAAATCATCATCCTCACTTATATCAACACCAGCTAAATAAAAAATAATACTAAATTCTTTCTTTTTTATATTTTTTAAAACATCTTGATATATATCTAAGTATTCATTGTCTTTTATAAATGGTTCCAGTTCAATATCAATAGTTGAATTTTTTTTTACAAGTGGATAATTATTTTTACAATGTAAACTTATTGTTTTCACACATTTGGAATTTTCAAATATTTCAGCTGTTCCATCTCCTTGATGAACATCTAGATCTAAAATTACTGCATTTTCAATTATTTTATTTGATAATAAGAAATATATTGCTATTGCTACATCGTTAAAAATACAAAATCCATCTCCTCTATCTCTTTTAGAATGATGATTCCCCCCACCTATATGCATTGAAATGGAGTATTTCAATGATAATAATGAGCTTAATATTGTACCACTTATTTCAACTAAGAATCTACAAATTAAATCAGGAAATAAATCTAATTCATACATTTCAACTTGTTCTTTATTTTTTATTATATTTAACATCTTATTTATAAAGGAAGGATTATGAGCTTTTAACATATATTTGATAATTTCACTTATATTACTTGATGGGAGGACAAAATTACTATCGTATATATTTGCTTCATTTAAATAAGTAAATATATTTTCATACTTTTTAATCTTAAAGCGATGCTTTTTTTTTATATTGACATTAGAGTAAATTGGATGAAAAACATAAGGAGGATTTTGAGAATTTATAGAATATCTTTTCTGATTTTTATATGTTCTTTGAAATTTGCTTTCATTAAAACTTTTACTTACATTTTTATTTATTTCATTTTGTACATATAACAAATCTTTACTTAAACTTAATACATTTGAATTTATATTTAATTTATTTAAATCATAAAAAGTTTTATTATCATTATAGGAGGAATATAGAAACTTATCTAAATAAAAGTCAAAAGAATTTTGTAGCTTATTTTTTTCTTTTTTTTTTTTGATTACAAAACGATAAAATTTTTCTAAATTTATGTATAAAAGAGTTTTTACACTAAATTTTTTTTTCAATACTTTATTTGAATTATTAGAAATATTTTTAAACTTATATGTAGTTATCAAACAGAACCATAATAATAATAAATAGTAAAACATTTTAGAATATTACATACCAGCTAAATACCCCAGTTTTTGAACAAATAGTATACATTTTTTTGATAAAAAAAAGTATAAATAGATATACTAAATAACGTCCTCTCAAATTGTTTTTTTTTTCCTTTTTTAATAAAACAAATTATTAGTATTCATTAGAATTATACACTAAGAAAAAAAAAAAAAAAAAAAAAAATACA